CGAGAAAAATGAAATGATGAGATTTTAGGAGGGGCGAGGGATTAATATTTGTTGCATGGGAAATCGGAGAAATAGAGACTCTGCGTGATCAAGGTTCGCTCGATTTGGGTGCGCAGATGATTTGATTTTTTTGTCTACGTTATTAATTACTATGGTATGGGATAAGTCCTGGGGTTTAAAATTGCACGAGTTGCAATAAAATGAAATGATGAGATTTCAGGAGGGGCGAGAGATTAATATTTGCTGCATGGGAAATCGGAGAAATAGAGATTCTGCATGATCAAGTTTTGCTCGATTAGGGTGCAGATAATTTTATGGTATGGGATAAGTCCTGGGGTTTAATTAAAATCATTTCTAAAAAAAAGAATCTGATACATCATAAAACTGATAATTTACATATGGAGAAGTTCAAACATATTTGACGTTGAAGTCCGATCTCATATTTTGCATCTCTCAATCGAAAATGTTTGGGACTTTTTGCCCCTTAATTGCAATCTCAAGAAGCACTGAACGGTATCCTTGCCTTCTTAATTACCAATGAAGCACAGATCAATAAACTTGCTTATTTACAGTCAAGAGTACTAAAAAGAGCAACATTTGAGCAAAACAAAGAGTTCAATAGCTCATCAGGCTCCAAAAGCTTAACACTACATAAAAACAAAGCCACAGTTCATGTCTAAACTCCACATTACAGCAAAAGGTCGAGTTTTTTGAGCCATTTCATCAAACATACAGTCATCCATACTCATTTACATAAAGACAACTTCCCAGCTTAACATAATCACCCAAAACCCAAACGTTTTTCTCCACCGAAGCATTTCGTCAAGCACCTTGTTCGCCCTTTGGCTTATTCACAGAACACGAAAACAAAAAATCATCAGCAAAAAAAAAAAAAAATTCGCTCCTAAAATGCGAAAATAGAAATAAAAATTGCATCTTTTCCTCAGAAAACAAATAAAATTTGTACCTTTCGCTCATAGCCGCCAGGGCGATGCCAGCGAGGAGGATCGAACTTGATCCCCCTCATCGCGGCGACCTCCAGAATATCCATGTTCTCCAAGCTCATATCGGGTTCTCCGACCATCATGGCGAGCAGTTCCATATAATCCGTGGGAGAAGAACTCGAAGCGGGTTGGGGGTTGGGTTCGGGTTCGGGTTCGATTCGGGGTTGGGGTGGCGGAGGAGGAGGAGGAGGAGGAGGAGGGGGAGGAGTGAGACAGTGTCGTTGAGGAACGCTTAGCATGATTTGATTGGGAGAGTGGCTCTGCTTCCGATATCGAGGAAGGCGAATCGATCGGCCATGGCGGAGTTTGGGATCTAGGGTTAGGGCTTCAGGGTTTTTTTATTTTTTTGGCGGGAGGAGGAGAGATGGCGTAGGTTAGGGGTCCGGGTATATTTAAGGCTTCGTATTTTGTTTTATTTTTTATTTTTTAAAGGACAATATAGGTAGGTGACAAATAGCCACTGCAATTCATTGTTGCATTAATACTTGTTTTTGGGGCTCAATGGAGAAACATCTACATCATATCAACGTCATGTAAATGTTATTCTTTTTTTTTCTTGCTTTTTTTTCGCTGTTGTAATGAATATTTTGAAAAGATGTTTAGATTAAATTTTATTAATTGACCTAATTTTGTGATTGTTTAAGAGATGAATACCATTTGTGTCCTCCCGCGTGATTTCAACAATGAAAAATGTTAATATCGTACATTGTTTTCATAACAGTATTATTATGTCAATAACACTATAATTTCAAGATTTTTGCTTGTTATTCTAATAAAAAATATATAAAAAAAAGTTCTACACTTTAAAAAGTCTAATTTCGTTTATAGTGTATGAGCATATCTAATTTGATTATTAACAATAATATCTATTTTTCATCCACTGTCTTATTAAAAACAAATCAACAAGTGTTATATCGTCCAAATGACTAAGTGTTAATCCTCAATGGATAGCCGACATGTGTCCCATCATCGGCACTCAACCCTTCCTAAAATCAAGGCCAGGTCAACAACCTTTGAGGCTGACAAAAAAGGCAGTACTTATCGGCTCGCACTATTCGAGTCGACCCCGCTCCTCTTTCATTCCACAAGGTCAGATCGATAACCTTCGAGATCGACTAAAAAGGTGGTACTTATTGGCTTGTACCATTCGAGTCCACTACACTCCTTTTCATTCTACAAGACCGGGTTGACAAACCTTCGAAGTCTGCTACAAAGGCGGTATGTATTGGTCCACACGCAAAATCGCGACGAGAGGTGGCACTTGTCGACCCTCTTGTGAAGTCAAGACGGAAGGTTGTGTGTCCTCAGGGCCCCACACCGATAGTTAATTGTCATCACATTAAATGAATGATCAGAGTCATCATTTCTCCAGTCACGAAAGCCTTTATAACTCATTGGACCTCGTCTGCGTCACGCACATTCTGTCACCCTCACATTAAACGCCTAGGTGACTCATCCCCCTTTGCAGCTGATACCTGTAAAGTAGATGATGACTAAGTCGCCTACTTAACCCAAACGAAGGTACCAATCTACCATTTGGATTAATTTGCTATAAAAGTTATTTGTTGTCTACTGATGAGGGTAATCAATCTCTTGCTAAAAACTGCACTATTTTCATACTTCTCCATTCAAGCTCTCTGCTAACTTGATGGTCGGAGGAACCACCGGAGATCCAAACTCCAACCTCTAATTATGTGTTATTCATATGCATGATGTAATTCGCTGCTCAGAGCCTAGCCGTCTAAAGGAGATTGATGACCCCAACACCCCATATAATCCACACATAATTTTCTGTTAAATAAGGGACATCAACAACAAGTAATAGAGTCGATAGTTCATAAGATTGTAACACATTTCATAGGAGTTTGGAGAACACCCGGTTGACGTGATTTGGACATTTTTTGTGTCGGATATAAGAGAGTCATTGGAACAATGCAATGTAAAGATTTGTATTTGTCACACCAACTCATGAAGTGGACCGTGCACATTGAATACCTTTTTAGGAGTTTGATCCCGCACAAGACACTTCGCTAAGGGGCTGTTTAGATCGAGTATTTTGAAGGGGAAAGCTGCCAAAAACTGACAAATTGACAGCTTTCCTCCTCATTTCCCCTTCAAAATACTCGTTCCAAACGGGCCCTAACACGTATTGTATATAACAGTTCACATGCAAATATATGTACGTGTCTGCATCCGTTCACTACGCGGGACACTCTATATCTCTTCCTAAAATGGGGAGAAAAAAAAACAGAAAAGTATGGTTCAGGATGATATTTTAGACTTTCATAACTTCATTCATGTATCATGTTTTAAAGGAGGGCAACGCAGGTACAAATTAGTGACCGGAGTTGCATTAATGAGTCAATAAAAGCAACATCATATGACAAATGAGATTAGTGCATTACCGAATCATCTAGCCTATGCGAATGCAGCACGTACGACATGCTTGCTATTGAGTCAAAGTTTGACATTGACGAGAATAACATTAGTCATTCTTTTCTATCTAAATTTCTATATATCAGTCCCTTAAATCTTCAATATTTTAGAATTGGTTCCCAAATCCTTTTTTTAAGTTCACAAATGGACTGGAAATATGATAACTCATCATTTATTCTCAGAACTTCCTAAATTATTTAGCAATCAAACAAACATGAGTTTTAGATATGTTTTATCATTCTTCACTTCTTCATTTCATACCAAACACAAGTTATGAATTACTTTGAGATCCATAAAATTGTTTAGAAATGATTATTTGTCTTAGAATCCATTTAGGGGCTGTTTGTTTGCAAAAAAAGAAGAAAACTGGCAACCATGTCACCTTTGAGGAAATCTCCCCCATCCACATCAGCTTTTGGTTTTAACACATTTCCATTTCACATGTTTGTTTCATTTTTTTTATTTAAGGAAATGTCGATGCCGCCTAGGATGCCATATCACATTTCAAGAAATGTGTTTTCATAAAAAAAAAAAGCTGTGAAAACACTTGAAAATATCACATCAATGAGTTTTTAATTAATAGAAGCACTATTGGAGAGTACCATGATGAATAAATTCCTTTTTTTAATGAGTCATTTCTTTTTTCCTTTTTCTTCTTGTCAAACAAACTATAAGAAATGGAAATCAAAAGCACTGTTACTATGAAGGTTTTTTTTGTGACTTGGTAGTGAAAATGAGAGGTTTCTTTGCGAAACAAACAAAATAAAAGAAAACTGAAAAAACTGTTGATATGTGTTGAAATCATTTCCAAAGAAGTTATTTCATTTCCGTTTTTTTTTTTTTTTTTTTGAAATAGCCAAACAGTCCCTTACATTATTTTATGGAAACTAACCAAACAGCCCCCTTTTATACAAAAAAAAAATGTCTGTCTATTTACCGTCATATTGATTTCATCACAAGATCACATGAACAATTGAAAAGAAATCACACAGAATTACTCCTATCAGGCACAGGACACTGACACCCCCTTTACCTACACGTCACCGTTCCGTTAACTCCCATCCAACAGCCGCTCAACCGGCTACAACCGGTAACCTCCCTCTTCTTAAACTCAAACCAAAATCCCTCACTCCCTATAACCCGCTACTTTAATTCAATTTCTCATCGAAAACTTTTTTCAATCCCCCCCCACCACCCCCGGACTTTCCCAAAATGACAACGATCACAAAGCTCCCCCTCGCTTTCGTTCTAATCGCCGGAATCGCCCTCGTCGTATTCTCGGGCGAGCTCCTCTACATCCTCTACTACCGCCGCAACCCCGGCGAAGCCTCGGGTGACCCGCAGAATCTGGAGAAGATTCTGTCAAAAGATTCTCCTGTGGAATTCCTTCTCCCCAGCGTCCGAGGGTCGAGCCCGCCACTCGTTCCCCCAGCTGCCTGCAACTTGGAGGAGGTGGCGTCACAGCCTGAGGTGGTGACGTCATCGGCGGAGCGGGAGCTCGCGAGGTGGAGGTCGAGGGTTTTGTACACGATCAAAGAGGAGGAGAGGGAGGATGCGGATTCGGATGTTGAGAAGGGTCTTGGGTTTGGACCCGAAAAGGATGAAGGGGCTGAGACGCCCTACTATACGCCGGCGGCGTCGCCGGAACGGGGGGAGGTGTAAATTTTAGACTTTAGAGGGGCGAAAGTGTAAATTTATGAGCGGGAGTCGGTGGGTAGAATTTGGTAATGCGCGAAGTAATGACTTTAGATTTGCGATATTCGTTTGCTATTTTTTTTTTGCGTCTGTTGATGAACAGGATTTGTGTTGGGTTTTTGCTATTTGAGTTAAATCTTAAGTAAATTTCAGAAAAACACCCTACATTTTGGGGTGATCTGCACAAAAATTAGAGGGAGTATAATCTTATTAGCAAATTTATGGTTGGATATGAAATACACTGACTCTACTCAAAATACTAAACAGCGGAATGAGAAAATTTCAGCAACCAGCAGAAAATAGTAGGAATGTCATGTGAATATTTCTTAACCTAAAGTTTAGCAATATTGTAGCTCGAGATGCTAGAACTGGGGTAAAATTAGCAAATATCTAAACTTGGGGAGAAAATTTAAAAATGTGGTAGATTTGGGGTTGTATAGATTTTGGAGGGTTAAAATTGTAAATTTAGAGGGTGGGAGTGAAGGCAGCAATAGCGTGGTCGGTAGAGTTCGTAATGCATGAAGTAATGGCTCTGGGCATTTAAGAATCTTTTTGCCTTATCATCTGTTACTACTTTTGGGCTTTTGAGTTAAAAATTTGAGGCCCAGCATTCGATGTTTGTTGGGATAGAATAAGTTTAGGAAAAAATTGTAAAATAGACCTATTTTGTTAAATATTTAGCAAAACAAACTGTTTTGCTAAATATTTAGCAAAATAGATCTTTTTTGACCAACAAGTCAAAAAGAGGTCGATTTTATAAAACAGATCATTCGAAACATACGAGACTAGTAGTCCCGTATGATTTAATGCCCATTAAATCATACGTAACTACTAGTCTCGTATATTTCGAATGGTCTTTTTACAAAATCGACCTCTTTTTGGCCAAAAAGAGGTCTGTTTTGCTAAATATTTACCAAAATAGACCTATTTTGTAAATTTCTTCATAAGTTTATATTTTTCAGATTGGGGATTATGAGCAAATTGAATGCGGAGTAGAGTACAAGAAAGCTTGGCCGAATATTTACGGCTAGTTGTTAGATTAACATAACTCAACCCATTATTAGTTGGTGTAAATTTGAGTGTGGGGCTAAGTTGTTTGTTGCTGCATGACTCAAAATTACCAAATATGGAAAGGTTATCCATTTTGACATTAAAAAAAAAATTGTTGCTAGGTGTTATATTTCAATTTCAATAACATGTTAAACGCTCAAATCGATTTTATCTTAGACCACTTTCTCTCGGAACCAAAACAAAACAAACTTACAAAACTACGGAAGATAGTCTAGCTTGTTAGATTTGGGGTGGAAACCAAACCTCCGACGGCGGAGGAGCTCCGACGAGCTCCGACGAGCTCGAGAATGGCGGAGATGACGCAGGCGAAGTCGACGAACGCAACCCTTCGGCGAACGCACACTTCGGCGAACGCACCCTTCGAAGTCGGCGTTTGAACCCCCCCTTTGCTCTGCGTTCGAACCTGACCTTTGCGTCAGGTTTAGCCGCTGGCGACAGGCTGTCGCCAGCCCTTCAATCCACCTATATATACCCCCTTTGGCCCTAGGGTTTCGCTGCCGTTTTTCTCCCTCCCTTCTCCTCCGATTTTTTTTTCTCTGGCGGCGAAGCCCCAAAACGCAGTCGCGTTTCCAATTAAATCACAGCAGTGATTTCATTCATCTCCAGCTCTCAAATTGTTTTTGTGGGGAGATTAAGAAGTGGATTAAAGAAGAGAGAGAACTAGAGGAAATTAAAGAGGGATTTATAAAGTGGGGTTATTCATTTATTCTCAAGTGAGAATTGTAAGGGTTCATACCCTTTATTTATTAACACTGTAGCTACAATGTTCATTTGAGAAATCTTAGTTTTGAGATCTGCTCCTAAATTGTAATTTCTTGTTTGATTAATAAGAAATTATCTGTGTGACTCCCGAGGACGTAGGCAGTTGCTGAACCTCGTAAATCTTGGTGCACTTTTTTCTATACTGCGTTTCTGTTGCATTAGGGGTTTCAGCGTTATATTCCCATCATAGCTGAGTTGTAAGCTATGTACGAGTAATACATCAGGGTTTTAGGTTCGACTCTGCCCGAGAACATCCGTAGAAATTAAATTTTCTGAAACACCCAATGCCATGCAGGGAGAGCGCCCCTTAGCCACGCCCGATTCAAAGGATCATGGAAAAGTTCCCTCGTCAACAAAGAAAAAAAAAGGAAAAAAGATAATTAAAATAACATGTATTTTATCCTGTCAGAGACGACCAAAGATCAAAGAAAAGCCAAAGTCAAATTTTATTATTTATCCGTAGCAATCATCACGCTGTAATTGCTCACAACCAACAAATCGATACAATTCAAACTCCCACAAATGCATCAAGCTAAATACTCCTATGAATCTGTAACCGTAAACAATTGCAACACAATACAACTTGAAACTAAAAAAAAGTAAAAAAAAAAATAAAAAAAATCCAACCTTGGATCCAATCCCTCAAAAGTCAACATCGCACTTCGTCCTCTCAAACCCACCATCAGGTTTCTCAGCAAGCTTCAATCTGCAGCCGAACTTGGGCTTAAAATGCCCGAACTTAAAGAACATAACCTTAATCCTCACCTTACAATAAACCATCAAATCAACATAAAAGAACCCCTCCCTCTTCTCCCGCTCAAATGTCGTACTCACCACCGAGCCCAGCCCAACCGCCCGGCCCATGAACTTTGGATACAAAACAGTGGTATCCTTGTGATGCTGGAAGAAGGCCGGAAAATTTGAGTCCAGGCCGAATTGGGTCCCGTCATATTGGGCTTGGGCCTCAATGTAATCATAGTAGAAGCTGATCCTTTTATTTGGATTGTGAACGCTGAGGTTGAGGGTGAGGTTGTAGGTGAGGGAGGCATTGGGCTTATGAACGTTTGTGAGGTTGAATTGGGCCAAACGGGCTGATTCTATGAAGGCTTTGGGCTTGCTGGGCCTGAATATGAGCCAGAAGATGAAGATGGTGATGCCCAGGGAGACGATGAGCTTGAAGAGAGAGAGGCAGAGGTTCCAGAGACAACCGTTGGAAGAGTTGCTGGCCATTGGGGACTTTGGTAGGAGAGAGAGAGAGAGAGAGAGAGGTAAGCTTAAGTAAAGAATAAAATAAAAGCAAAAAATAATGTTATGATGGGCATAAGATAGGGCCCATGCTCGTAGCTGTCTGTGCTGAGATGACATATTCAAGGACCAGGAAGGAATAATAGAAGTCTTGGTTATTTGCACTCTAATCACAAACGTTTTAAAATTTTAGATTTAGATCTCTAATATACCGTAAAATCTAATTTGAAATTTTGATTTGATATTCAAGGTGTAAAAATCTGGCCTTAATTTTATTCGCAGTAAATATCAGCATGTAAAAGTGGAGGAAATAATTTTCTTACCAAAATTTATTTCTCTCCGGTGAACTGAAAAACAAACTTTGGCAGATTAAAATTATTAAGATAGAATCCAAGATATTGAAGTTGGTAATATGTGAAAAGTTGGGGTATTAAAGCAATGTCGGAGGAAGGAATTTCGTCAAGCGGGGTCCCAAAAATAATAATGCTCAATAACAAGACCTTGAACTGGGTATAGATTTATATACCTATTTGTGCTTTGGAGTCATTTTTTTTTTCACGTACTTTTGTCGAAAAGAGACTTGATCCTCATTCTTTCCTATGTCAAGGGCAAATTTAACTCAAATCCATTCTCTGATTCAACTGTAAATCTAAACGTGTGAATCTAATCTTAGGGGGGAAAAGGTTAAATAGCACTCAAATACCTTATAGTTTCACTCACTTTGTGCTTTCATACCTTCACTTGTTTTTGTTTATAATTGGTATATTAATACTCTTTATGCAAACGTGAAAATTGCTATATAGGGCCCAAACATGAAAAACTAGAATGAGTGTTGCATGAAAATTTTTAGGAGAAATTCTCGTGTTTGCATAACTAAGGGTATTTAAGTACAAGTTTTAATAACTTTAGGATATTTATGTGCAAATTTTAAATACTTTTAGGGTATTTTGATACAAGTTTTAAAACTTTATGGTATTTAAGTACTGTAAGAGGACATCTAAGTGCAAGTTTTGAAAACTTTAGGGCACTTAAGTAATGCCAAACAAAAGTGAGGGTATATAAGTGTAAGTTAGGGAAAATTATAGAGTACTTAAATGCAATCACCCCAGTTTTTTTATTATATATATTCATGGTGGGGGCAGGGCCTTGTTGGGTCTATATGGTTCCACCCTTGTTGTAAAGTGCCTATAAGCCTTCTGTAATGTAAGTATGCGGCAAGTTCAAATTAGAATGAATGATTCTTGGATGTGAAAGCAAATTTTTAAAGTGATGAATAACATGATCTACAAATTTGACAATGCCTCTAATGTTCAAAATGTCATCACCAGATGCTGCTCTGAAGGAAAAATTCAGTTATCTTCTATCTACAATGAGCTCATTCATCAAAATACACAAGTTGCTTGGTCCAAAACAGTCTGGGATGGATGGTTATACCCTAAGCACTACTTTATCCTTTGGCTAGCTATTCATTCTAGATTGTTAACAAAAGATAGGCTATGTCACATGAGGATACTTGACACAAATCTCTGTGTCCTGTGCACAAATCAGCATCACGAAACGTGCATACATCTCTTATTTGGATGTGTATACTCAGCTACTTTATGGAACAAAATGATGGACTGGATGAATTATAATTGGAAATCTTACAACTGGGATTGTATTATTGACTGGTATAGTACGAGACTGAAGGGAAGGGGTTTATGAAGAAGCTTAAAAGATTGGCATTATCCGTATCAGTTTATGTTATATGGAAAGAAAGGAATCAGATAATCTTCCAAAACAAAGCTAAAGACCCTGAATGTTTGTTTCAGATAGTGAAGCTTCTAATACTTTCCAAGTCTTGAATGATAATGCTTCTCCTTACATAAAAGAAAGAACTGAGCAAATATAATTCTTTTTCATAGTTGTTTTTCCAGTTAATCACTGGAATGTTTTGATTTACTAAATCTTCTCAATTGGTAATGAATAAAATTTATTTCATTGACTAAATAAAAATGTTAAGCCCAGATCTGTTAAAAAAGGCTTCGCGCATAAAGCCTATCTCAAACTACGCTCTCGAGCGTTCACACTTTGTGAGCCCAACAAGAAAGGGTGTCCCACAAAGCCCAAATGCAACAATGTCCTATACTTTCTGATTATAGAAGGCTTGTTTAGATTTGCAGTCAATGAGATTTAAGTGAACATAGGATAAGTGAAACTTAAGAGAGATGTTAAGAAAATTAAAAAAACTTATTTAAAAATTCACCAAAGGGAACCAAATAAAACTTATTCCACTCTGTTTGAAAAGTTTAATAAAGTTAAGAGAATGAAAAGAAATAAATGTAAAATTACATAAATAACCTTAAATGCTATTACGTCAATTTGTTGATAGAAATTAGAGGGAGGATAAAATTATCTATTCACAATTGTCTTTTTTTTTTTGAACAGTTCCTTTCATCCTAGTTACACCCCAAATTAAGGGGAAGAAAACTGGAATTTCTCCCTAATTACCTATCAAATGTAACCTTCCAACATGAATATGTGTGCCCTCAAAACTTATCCTTACCCCCTCATTTATCCCTACAAGCTCTAAATTTTAATCTCCATAAAAGTTTAGATGTGCATACAGCCCACGAAATTTTTGTAACTCTCGCTAAATCTCGAGTTAATTTTAGGAAATTCCAGAGAATCCTCAGAGTATAATTATTTTTTACCCCACTACACCCATAACAGCGTCATTCCATATTTGAGGGCACCATAAAGAAGCATATAGTTTTTTTTTTTTTTGATCCATTGCCAGCTAGACTTTGGTTTAAAAAGTTGTTTTTTTTATTTTCTCGAGGAATCAGACTTTAGTATTGTTAATAACTGTGAACTATTGACTCTCAATGCTCGACTTTTTCTTCTTCTTCTTCTTCTTTGTTCTTGTCCTTGTTTTTTGTTTTTGGTAGAATTCTTAGATTTACGAGGAATCAGACTTCGGTGATATTAATCATTGCAAACTATTGACGCTCGGATTTTTTTTTTTTGTTTATCACGTCTCTTACTCAAGATGTCTCGTAATTTAGTAAAAATTTTCAAGTTATTTTTAGTTAACACTTTAATCTAAAAATATGAAGCGAAAATTTCCAGAACCAACCTTCTATTTCTTTACTGTCTGACATACCTTCGAAACTTATTCACAAGGACAATCTACTTGTAATATAAATTTCCTTTTATTAAAAAAAAAGGCTTAATTGCACTTAAATATCCTATAGTTTACCATACTTTGGTTATGCACCTTCACTTATTCTTGCCAGCACTTATATATATATCTTAGTTGTGCAAACTTGAGTGTATTTAATTGTAAATTTTATAAAAATTTAATTACATATATAGGTAATGCCAACAACAAACGAGGGCACACAAGCAAAATATTTAAAAACTTTAGGATATATAAGTGTTGACAAAGGTACATAAGTGGGACATAGGAGAAATATAAGGTGTTTAAGTGCGACATTGGGTATTTAAGTTAAAAAAAAAATGAAGGTAAACATGTTCAAAAGCCAAGGCCGCTTTTTCAGAGATTAATTTATCAGCAGCTTCTAGAAAGAGAGATCATCACTACGTTGACCAAGCTAAGTAAGCAATAAAAAACAAACCATTTATTTATTTACGTAAAACAAAAAGACCTCACGCTACAACGACTAACCAACGAACACCTCTCAAATATATCAATATATACACATAACCCAAGCAATGTGATAGAAAAAACACATGTAAAAAAAAAAAAAATTCAACTTAACGCGAGGCTCACACGCCCCAAGCTCCCAATCAAAAATAGTCAACGCCGCATTTGGTCCGCTCGAACGAACCCGACCCGTTACCCTTGCTCGTCGACGGAGCGGGCAATCTCACGGTGCAGTCGAACCTAGGCTCGAAATGCCCCACCTTCACGAACTTCACCTTCAATCTCACGCTCGTATAAATCTTCACATCGACGTAAAAACCCCCCTCCCCCTTCTCCCTGTTATAAACATCCGACGCGGACCCGAACGCGCCCGCAACCCCGCTAAACCCGGCGGCGCAGCAGCCGTCGTGTTCTTGTGACCCTGTAGAGACGCGGGCAGGCCGTCGTGTCCGAACTGCGACCGCTTGCCGTAGATCGCCCTGGCCTCAGACGCGATCGTAAGTATGATCCCGATCCTCCGTTAGGGTTTCTGCGCTGGACGTGCGAGGGCGAGGCTGTAATCCAGCGCGTTTCGCCCGACCGTGAGGTTGAAGACCGTTGTACGAGAGTGGTGGCCGATTCGACGTACACGTGGAGCTTGTGGCGGGCGGAATACGAGCCAGACGACGAGGAGGATCACGACGCATGGCCGATCGCCGATCGAGAAACGCAGTTTAAAACGCGTGGGACAGGGATGCAGCACGCGCCGCAGCCAGAGCAGCAGACCGGAGCTGCGATCGGCCCACCGCTACGGCTAAGGTGCTGCGGGGAGGGACCGGTGGGCCGTAGTAGGCTCCGTTCAGGTGGACTTGCTTCGCGTCCGCCATCGAGCGAGGACGAAGTAGGAGAGGTTTAGTGAGAGAGAGAGAGAGAGGGGACGTAACGTTAATTTTTATACGTAGTAGGAGACTGGGTGGAAGTTTCGTTGCATATAAAAAATGCGCGGTTCTGGTTGCAAAAGTCTCTTTGCTTTGCGAAGAGAAAACGCGGGTTGGGGATTTTTTTATAAATGCGAAGCCCGCGTCGAATGGCGACTTTGATGTAATAGTAAGTTGGGCCAGGGCTGTATTGTTTATAGTGGGCCTAGCTAGCTCCAACATGGGCCCACTTATGTTAATCCGCCGAACTTCAAACTGGGGACGAAGTACCTGTCAATGCTTATCAAAGTTTAGATAGATTTTAGCCGAAAAAAGGCTGCGCGTTTATCTCGTGTGAGGGAGAGACCGTCACGTATCTTGCTCATTTGGATCAAAGTTTTTCCCAATATTATTAGTTGGGTGAGTTGGAAGTGGGAACAATAGAGACGCCAGCTAGAAAAAGACTAAGAGAGAGTTTCCTAGTCAAGTGGGCTGCTTCCTTCAATTATTTTCTTTGAAGTTACGTCTCGGGAGCAGTTGGTGCTCTTTCTTCATGCCCTTTTTTTTTCTTCCCTTCAAATTTTATTACATGATAATGTGATGAATTTATGTTAGCCAACATCATATTATTGAGCATATATCAGGTTACGACCCAAACTATGGTGTGAGTTTTCAAGGTGCTTGACCCTTTCATGTGGATTATATTCAAAGAGTATATTAAGGATAAAGCTTAGCGGTTGGCACCTCATCACTATCAAGCTAGGTAAAGGTGAGCTTTCATTTACAACACTTGAGTAAACCAAGACAACAGCCAAACCAAGATGTCAAGCACTTGAATCCCTGTTGATTCTTGTGAACTTGTTTCGGGTGCATATGAGCTCAGGCAATGAGGAGTCATTTGTATAAAGTTCGTGCCGAGATTTGGAAAGAGATCAACGCTACGCCACTAAAAAAGCCATAAAGTGAAATATATTGCTGAAATCACAAGTACAATACCATCAACTCCCATTACCTGCACAAAAACACAACCCCTATAACTTCCTTTCATGTAACTCTCTCCTCGTAATTTACACATCAAATTCAAACATCAACACTGCAAGTCGAAACCTGCTGAAACTTGATCCCGACGGCCGACTCAACCCCACCCCCGGAGTTCGAACCCCCGCCGCCCCGATCGAACAACAAATAGGCCGGACAATTCACGAACAACTGATAAAACCCAGAAGTCCAGCTGCCAACCCTCCATTTCAACTTCCCTTCAACCTTCACCCACAAGAAAAAATACCCATCAGCCTCGTCCTCCGTCAACATCTGCCCCAAGAACGGAGCTATCGGGATCCCATCTCCGCTCAAATACGGCGACCAGACATCCACATCATTGTGCCCCTGGTAGACTGGCGGTATTGGGGACGAAAGCGTAATCTGCTGGTAATTGTAGGAGGCATACACTCGAAGGTTGGAGTAGAGGACGGAGATGCGGTCGTTGGGGTTGTGGGAGGAGATGGTGACCTGGAGCTGGGAGGTGAGGAGGTTAGGTTGGGTTAAGTTGAATCTTATGACTCTCGCGTCTTGGAGGTAGAACTTGGGCTTGGTGGGCTTGAGGACGAGGTAGACGACGAGGATGGCGATGAGGATGAGGATGACGAGGAGGAGGAGGACGTAGAGGAGGCGGCGGATGAAGAGCTCGCGCCTGTGTCTGCCGCAGTCCTTCGACATGATGAGTGGGAATTGAAGGAGAGGAGGAGGATGATGATATAATAAGGGAGAGAGGGATGAAGGTAATGGTGATGGGGGAGTTTGTGGAGGGACTACTTATGGGAATATTTTCTCTGAAATTTCTTTAGGGTAGGAGACAAAAATAGAGATGGGTGAGGAGGAAACGTGTACCGTTGCGAAAAACTTCATATGGTATGCAGTCTATGCGAAGTTTTCCTACATGGAGGGAGTAGAATGCAATAAAGTATTTGCTACAAGTTTAAATGTAAAATCAGAACAAACAATTAAAATATCAACGTACCAATCCAATACGATCAGCGCGTGAATTAGTAATCATCAACTTTAAAATTGTACTCTTATGTTGAATATAACCAGCCAATTTTACATTATGGGTTTGAAAAAAAAAAAGAAAAGAAAATGCAGTAAACGTCAAAAAAATTAGAAAGAAGTTTAACTACTACATTGAAAAAGGATACACCTATATAAAGACATAATTTAAGTTATTACATTAAACTCATATATACGTATAGTAATCCCAACGGTTTCTCAAAGTTTACTTATGGGCTGGTAACGCTAAGCTCAAGCTGCCTCTAAATTAAAAATTTTAACTACTAATTAATTAGAAATCCGCAGGTGGTAAATATTTGTTAATTGTACTTAAGTCAACTAACCTGCGTACGCTTGTAACATACACAAGTTCATCTAAACAGACAGAGACAACTAAAGGACTTTTTTGTTAGGCATTAGGTCAATAAAATGGTGAAGCGGTATGGAAATTAAACACGCTGAGTTGGAATTTCACATGGAAGGTTGTAGCATCAACATCCATCCATAATTAATTCCTACTATTTTGACTCAGCCATAAAACAGAGCAAAGGGGGTCTCAAACTATCTTTTTCCACAGAAAATGCAAGCCACAAATTCAAAATCTCAAGCAAACTTGCTATGTTCTCTAAAATAAAGATTAAAAAAAAAGGGGGGAAAGAAGATAAAACAAACAAAAGGAGACTCCAGACTCTTCAGGTCCTTCTCCAGACAACCAATATATCAATATTATAAACCACATCATAGAAACAAATTAACCCAGTAAATCTCTTTTTGTGTAAAGAAAATCTATATCTATATCTATACTATACTATATATAAACGAAGATTGTCTTGTCAAAACATTTGATTTTCAGTTTTGCCCTTTTAAGTTTGATAATTCTCAAATGTATCATTAGTTGTAATTAATCATTCACTAATTATATATAACCTCATACTAATTATGCATTTCCTCATTTTTTTCAAAACCTTTGGTCGCATTGTTATTTTATTATTTGATTGTGTTATTTGATAGAAAATTTAAAATTTATCCATAACTTATCTTCACATAATATTTAAAATTGTAAATAAAAATAAAAATAATAACAATTCATTAGGCTTATACCTTATGTCTCTGGGTTTCGCCTCTTATGGACAACTTCTTTTACCTTTCGTCTTATTAGCCTTTAAAAGTATGATAATAGTATGAAAATTAAAGTCCAACCAAGTTTTGCTGGTCCTAGATTAACTAAGAAAGCAGCAAACTGGAACAATCAGAAGAACAAATAAAGTCCAAATACCAGCCAAAGGATGAGGAAAAACCAAGCAAATAAAAACTAAGATGACACTGAAGTTGGAAGGAGAGGAAGAGCAAACTTGTCTATATCATTAGAATGCATGACTAGATGCACTGGATATGAGACAAAATCCTGATCAACAAAGGGCCATCCTCATCCAAGCCACAACCTCCTAATTTTAATTGTATGCATGTATATAAACTCTCTTTCTATGATTACTATTGTAATCAAATTATGATGACAATATATTATATGTATTCTAATATCATGACCATGTTGCCATGTCTTTATGTCTTACCTTCTTGAAGAATTATCGTGTCTGGTGTTCGTGTCACACCCGTGTCCTGTACCATGTATCCGTGCTGCTTCGCGAGCAATACATTAACAAAAATCAATAGACCATCAATGAAGAGTATGAGATCTTCAAGCACTTCCAATAAACTAGTCCTCGATCAATTATCATTTCACAAATTTTCAGAGCCAGAAAGTTGATCTGCAGTTTATTATGCAGGGTTGGCTAAAAAGTCTTTCAAAAACCTTTTGATTATAGGCACCTGATAAAGACCTTAGGTAGTCAAAGAAATAAGTTCATTAATTCACACCAAAAGAATCATGTTTTCAACAAGTTCCTAACAATTGTCATAACCTTGAAGAGTTCTGACTGAAAGCATCATTTTTAATTTCAAACTACCATAAGGAATTAAGGCAAAGAGCATAAAATATCGTAGCACTAATACGCGCATAGTGCGAAATTTCTCAAATTTGATTTGAGGTATAAAGAGCAGAAAACATCAAGTCCCTCAATCTTCATCATGTTCTGGATATGTTTGAAATAGAACGATGCTCAAGAGGCCCAGCTATACCAAATTTATCTAACATATATACAATCAATATTAAAAGGAGAAAATAGCAGCATTATTCCCTCAAGGAACAAGTAGGCCAATAATAAGCAAAGATGCCACTATTTAAAGTGTTGCATACAGGAGAACATAATCTAGGAAAATCTAACCATCCAACCCCAAGCAAAATCCCTTACACATCATCTAGCTCCCAGGTATCAGCTCCTTATTGGCCCCTGTTAAATATAAAAATGTTAAATAATGTGGCTGGGCTATATTGCAACTTATAGAGTTTACTTTAACACATAGGAAATTTCCTCATAGCTAAATCGATTTTATAAAGACGACATGAAAGTTCTAAAACACCTAAGTGTGTCTTAAGCTTCCACAGGAAAAGATGACAAAGTTTTCCATAACTGACATTGGCTGACAAGGGAAACATTATGTGTCCTAAACTTACTCTTCTTCCACCTTGCAATATGATGGAAGTTTCCACCCGCTAAGGCTTACCATAGGGCACAAGCACATCCGAAGAAGGTAAAAAAAAAATGATACATACATATAGATATACATCCAGAAGTTTGCTCGACTTGCAATATGTAAAATAAGGCTTAGGGCAGTGTTCCTAAATGGGCCTTGGTTTTGATTGTAGGTCTCCCATAAGATGTACTTATCCAAAAGCAGGAGCAACAAGCTGTAACAAATTTAAAGTAACTGATCTATCAGATTAATTTTCGTAAATTGATCAGGATCCCTCAGCTCAACCTTCCTGAATCAGCTACGTCATCAAATAATAACTCTTTATTGTGATAAACAAGCATGCTGTTAGCACTTAGTTTGCTTCTCACTTCTCATGCAATTTAATGCTTGCTTCTTAATACAAGCTCACGTTGATTACATAATACATTACACCTATTTTACTGGTATTAGACACACACACACACACACACACACACACACATATCAATCAACAATCAGTTTAGTCACTAGTGCACCTATGTTAGCTACCTGTATCAAGTAGGATTTACATAGAATTAAGAGCTTTCGTTTTTTTAAAAAAAATAAAAAAACTTGGTGTCCATCTCAACCTGAACCAACTAGCTTCGAACCTGTGTCGTGCCTTGTTTGGTGGGAGTCCTGTCAGGTCTGAGTTACTCATATCTCATTCATGTACCTGCCTTATCCAGAATAAATCAATTTGCATGCATCTTAACCTGAACCTACCCCTTTGAACTTGTGTCATGTTTTACAAGAATGACGGCAACTGAGTTACTCATATGTTCTGCGAAGCCTATTAGCTCAGGTCAATCTGTGATCAACAAAGGCCTGTTAACTTCCACCCGTACATACTTCCAATATATTATATTAAAAGTGATAGTAAAATTGTTTGCTGAGATTTGAGTTTCAGTTGTACTTTTTATAGAACTGACAAAATTTGCTAGAAGAGTTTGCATGAAACTGACAAGAAAAGGAAGACAGAGGATCAACGAGAAAGACAGAGAGAGAAGGTCTACACAATTCGGTTGACAACTAGGAAGCGTGAGAAAAGAGTAAATGGAAGTTATGTATCCTAATTCAGTGTCATCAAGATTTGTTCAATTTATACTTTGATTAGTTACCTTTTAAAACAACACAATGATTGTAATAACTATCTTCCTGTATTACCATACCATAGATGTCGGGAACGTGAGATATTATAGCAAATCACATCCCAGGATCAATCGTCCTATTTAATGCGGTACACTAACAAATTGAGTCGCATACCCAGCGATCAGATTTAGAATTCAAATTAGTTAGCTTTTTGAAGGGAAAAAATCACTACTTTTAGAAACAATATGGCAAGAGAAACAAATCTACTTTACAAAAAAACTTGCTCTTACAAATTACGAATTATAATCTCATCTTGCATCCCACATATCTCTAACAACTTACAACATCAAATAAACCCTTCAATAGCATTTCTAGGCTACAAAAAATCTTTTTACTCGCATTCCAATTCTAAACATTTCTATACAAGTATCTCCACGAGATATTTCTCAAGCCTCTTCCAAAAACATTCCTAATATATTGTAGACAAATAAAATTATCATGATCCTTTGTAGATACACTTGACTCTCTACATAGTTCTAGGACCAGATATTTGACTCCAACTTAATAGTAATGACTCTAGAGTTCTTAGATATTACTAGCTAGGAACATCTAACAGGTTCGGCATATGACTTTGTCTACTTGTTTCTTAACAATTATGGACAGTAGTCATGGTTTTATATATCCCATTAGAGGTAAGAGTTTATGTTTCCCACAGGGCCTACTGCTACTCGCGAAGGAATAATCTCGATTTGAACATGGTTGAGCCTGGGTAAGGCGTAAATTCCTTGTCTCACCCAACAATCAGACAACATAGACCACAACTGGACCTCAAATCAGCAACCTTACATGGAGGAGTTGCCAAAGGGGCTAGGTCCTAGTATAGCAGTACACAATCTGACCTACCATGATACTCCCTTAGAAGTAATAAAACACAAGCACAAGACCAAACTGGATTCACAATAAGAAGCTTCAACTATCAAGATCAGCTAGAAGTCGAAAATATCTATAACACTGAGTTAAACACATCCTTAACTATCAGTATCAAATTTCTTCAAAAATCACCACACCCGCCAATCGGAAAGGCACTCCACCTCTATCTCCTTGGACTTTTAGCCCACTAAAAACACCACTCTTTAAATATTGTATCCTAAGTTCATGTATATTACCCGAATGAACTTCACTACTATGCATCTCTAAAGCTTTATTCAGTACTCCTTTCACCGTTAAGAGTTAAGAGTTAAAGAGTAGTCCACCAGTCTACCAACCTACTCAGATGAGCTAGATGTTCTCAAAATCAAGATGAACAACTTGACACTAAAATTAAAGAACTGATCGACCTGTTACCAAATAGAAATGAAGAATAACCACAACTAATGTCCTCTAGAACCACCTAAAATTTATTGCACACTTAAGCAAGTATCTTATGAAATATCTCACATTAACGAACTTATAAGAAGATGACAATGACATATGACACTGAAACCAACATCTCGATCTCTTTGTAACCCAATGGAATATCAACATATCAGTTAGCATCAAAAGGAAACCAAACATAATCCACAGCGAAGTCATCTATTTACTCACATAGTTCTTGCTCACATCCAAACCTGACAAGCCTTCGTCGGCCCCAC